CCTCCCAGCTTGGTATCATCTGCAGACTTAATAAGCGCACTCTCTATGCCGATATTTAAATAGTTGAAGAAATTGAACAGAGCCCGTCCCAAAACAGACCCCTTGTTATACCTTTCCAGCAGGATTGTGAACCATTAATAACTACTCTCTGAGTATGGTTATCCAGCCAGTTATGCATCCACCTTATAGTAGCCCCATCTAAGTTGTATTTGCCTAGTTTATTGCTAAGAATATAATGTGAGATCGTATCAAATGCCTTATTAAAGTCTAGGTATACCACATCCACCGCTTCTTCCTTATCCACAAGACTCGTTACCCTATCAAAGAAAGCTATCAGATTGGTTTGACATGATTTGTTTTTTACAAATCCATGCTGGCTGTTCCATATCAACTTGCCACCTTCCAAGTGTTTATAGATGATTTCCTTAATTACTTGCTTCATTATCTTCCCTGGCACAGAAGTTAAAACTAACTGGTCTGTAGTTTCCTGGGTTGTTCGTATTTCCTTTTTTATAAATGGGTACTATATTTGCCCTTTTCCAGTCTTCTGGAATCTCTCCTGTCTCCCATGATATTCCAAAGATGATAGCTAGAGGCTCAGATACCTCCTCTATCAGTTCCTTGAGTATTCTAGGATGCATTTCATGAGGCCCTGGTGACTTGTAGGCATCTAACTTTTCTAAGTGATTTTTAACTTGTTCTTTTTTTATTTTATCTTCTAAACCTACCCCCTTCCCACTAGCATTCACTATGTTAGGCATTCCTTCAGACTTCTCGGTGAAGACCGAAACAAAGTCATTAAGCATCTCTGCCATTTCTAAGTTTCCTGTTACTCGTTCCTCACTGACCAGAGGGCCTACCCTGTCCTTGGTCTGCCTCTAGCTTCTCATGTAGTTATAAAAAGTCTTTTTGTTTCCCTTTATTCCCGTAGATAGCTTGAGCTCATTTTGTGCCTTTGCTTTTCTAATCTTGCCCCTGCATTCCTGTGTTGTTTGCCTATATTCATCCTTTGTACTACTTTGTTTTTTATATGACTCCTTTTTATTTTTAGATCATGCAAGATCTCATGGTGGTCTTTTGCCATATTTTCTCTCTTTCCAATGCAGCCTAATAGCTTGCTTTTGGGCCCTTAATAATGCCCCTTTGAAAAACTGCCAACTCTCCTCAGTTGTTTTTCCTCTCAGTCTTGATTCCCATGGGATCTTACCAATCAGCTCTCTGAGCTAACCAAAATCCACCTTCCTGAAATCCATTGTCTCTATTTTGCTGTTCTCCCTTCTACCCTTCCTTAGAATTGTGAACTCTATTATTTCATGATCACTTTCACCCAAGCTGCCTTCCACTTTCAAATTTTCAACCAGTTCTTCCGTATTTGTTAAAATCAAATCCAGAACAGCTTCCCCGAATTGCTTTTTCAACCTTCTGAAATAAAAAGTTGTCTCCAATGCAGTCCAAGAACTTATTGGGTAGTCTGAGCCCCACTATATTATTTTCCCAACATATGTCTGGCTAGTTGAAGTCCCCCATCACCACCAAATCTTGGGCTTTGGATGATTTTGTTAAGTTGCACATGGCAGTGTGGACATGCTCTTATGCAAGATCTTGTGCACAAGAACTCTTGCGCAAAACAGTTCTTGCGCAAAAAGCCTGCAGTGTAGATGTAGCCTTAAAGTCTGTAGGGGCAGGTCTACACAGCCACCCTAGTTTGGATTAGGGTGGCTAATGTAGTCATTGGAACTTGCAAATGAAGCCGGGAATTTAAATATCCTGGGTGCCGCCATTTTTAAATGCACAGTAGTTCGAACTACCTGCCTGCAGCTCCACACGGCACGGGCTAGGTAGTTCGAATTAAAACTCCTAATTCGAACTACTATTACTCCTCATTGTGTGAGGATTAATGGTAGTTTGAATTAGGAGTTTTAATTCGAACTACCTAGCCCGTGCCGCGTGGAGCTGCAGGCAGGTAGTTCGAACTACCGGGTATTTAAAAATGGCAGTGCCTGGGCACATGCAAATGAAGCTCGGGATATTTAAACCCCAGGCTTCATTTGCAAGTTCGAATGACTACATTAGCCACACTAGTCCGAACTAGGGTGGCTAGTGTAGACATACCCCTATGTGTATATGTCACGGGAAGGTGTCTTGTTTGGATGATGGTAAGACTTGATCATCTGCCCAGAGCAGGCACTAGCAGCTCAATATATTCTAGTTATTTTCAACCAAGAGGTGCATAAACTACTTTGCCTATCTTTTATACTGGATTGGGGAAAGATTGACGTGTCTTCCCCTTGCTATTGCCCTAAACTACCCTTATGGCCTACATACAGCATCTCTGATCTAAGATCATTTAGGTATGTGTCAGAAACCTCACCCTAGCCAGAAGACACTAGGTGGCTAATGCAGCTTCCTGAGTGGTGCTATCATGTACTTGTGATAAGTCTGTCGTATAGGGTGCCATATTCTGCACTTGTCCCGTGAATTTAAAATGCAGCCCTAGTGCAACAGTCATCCAGTCTAAAATACTTAGGCTGTGTCTACACCGGGCCACTTATTCCGGAAAAGCAGCTGCTGCGAGCTGTCTACACTGGCCCTTGAATTTCCGGAAAAGCAACGACGCTCTACTGTACAAAATCAGCCGCTATTCCGGAAAAACTATTCTGCTCCCGCTCGGGCATAAGTCCTTATTCCGGAACACTGTTCCGGAAAAGGGCCAGTGTAAACAGCCCAGTAGTCTTTTCTGGAAAAGCGCATCTACATTGGCCACAGATGCTTTTCTGGAAAAAGGGCTTTTCCGGAAAAGCAGCCTGCCAATGTAGACGCTCCTTTTCCGGAAAAACTGAAAATGGAATAGTATTCTGTTTTAAGCAGTTCCAGAAATTCATGCCAGTGTAGACACAGCCTTATACTACTACAGAGTAGGAAAGAATTGCTGAATCCAGTCACTTTTTCTTGGTACGTATGTGAGTATGCAATAGTCTGCCAGCCTGTGGAATCTCATGTGTTGCTTAGTGCACTAAGCCACATCGTTATATACAGGTACATAACAATTATGGCAATTAAGAACCTGATCATAAAAAAAAAATATGGTGATAGAGGCCAAATATATATAAAGACACTTGTATTCTTCTGCATGTAAAACCTACCCCCATGCATGCCCCTTTACTCCCATTCTTAACTGCTGTGGAATAGTCCGTCATGCATGTTCTATACTCTCCACTCGTTGAATTGCTGAAATAGTTGTGTCATTTTACTTTTCTATCTGCTCCTGCAGCATCATTTGAGAACCTTTCCCTTCTAGGCGGTCCTCATGTTACAGTAAGATACGAGAGTCAGCCCTCTCTGCGTGGGTACTGTGCACTCCATGGTACGACGTGACCAAATTTCACAGCAACAATTTAATTCTGCTGGAACGTGGTCTTGCTGGAGCATATTTCAGTCCCTCTCATCCTCCCCCAACACATGGCTTTGGCTCATAGCTGAAATGCTCATTGGGTAAGAGTTTAATCATTGCTGAAATTAGCTATGATTTGCAATAATGGCTCTCCCCCCCCCTCCATCTTCTTCAGCTACACAGGTCTCTTGACCATGGTGGTTGTGATGGTGTCCACCCCCTTCCTAAGAAACCCATTCCACTGGGAAATAATTTTTCCTGATATCCAACCTGGATCTCCCCCACTGTAACTTGAGATCCTTGCTTCTTGTTCTATCATCTGCCACCACTGAGAACAGCTTGCGTCCATCTTCTTTGGAACACCCCTCCCCTCCAGGTAGTTGACTGCTATCAAATCCATCATTCTTTTGCAGACTAAATAAGCTCTCTCCTCACAAGTCTTATCCCCCTGCCCCTAATAATTTTTGTTGCCCTCCACTGGACTCTCTCCAATTTGTCCACATCCTTTCTGTAGTGGGGGGTCCAAAACTGGATGCAGTACTCCAGCTGTGGCATCGCCAGTACTGAATATGAAGGGAAGATAATGGTTTATATAGCAGCAGCTGAAAGTTAGACCACCACCCCCCAGTTGTCTTGGGATAACAAATGCAAAAGCCTTTCCATTTTGCTCCTTCAAATCATGTGCCATTGTTTGAGAGGTCACTCTCAACATACTTAATACTAAGTCAGTATCTGCAAGCAGGCTAGGAGAGGCCATGCACGCGTATGCCATTTTAGAAAGAATTAGGGCACAGCTCCTGCATTAGCTATGTGACTGGAATTAGCTCTGGCCTCATCCACGAATTCAAAACTCTGCATTTAAATTGCCATTGTACAACAGCAGCACATTCCTTCAACATGGACTCTGGCTCAGGCTCCCATGGAAACAGGCTTAGTACTGAATTATTTACCAGGTTCAGATTTTGTCATGTCCTTCTTCCAGATCTTCCCTTCAGGCCACGGCATTGGGAATCCATCCTCCCCTGGATCACTGCAATGGTCAGTAATTTTGAAACATTTACCATTGAAAATTTTGTTCCTTTTGTGTTATTTCTTGCATAGCATCTGGCTGTGCAGGAACAGTGCTCAGAAATACTGCGCGGTCATACACTGATAACCAATCCACTCCCCTTTTCAGTGTAAGATTTGGGCTTTGGTCACTCCCACCACTCCTGTAATGAGGAAGCTGACCAATACTTAACGTTTTGCATGGACCAAGTGATTTACACACATTATCTAATAAATCCTCACAACAGACCTGTGGAACAGGTGCTATGAGCCCCATTTTACAGATGGGGAAACTCAGTCCAACACAGTAAGACTCAGAGTTAAGTTTAGGACTTTATGTCCAATGCCTACTCTTTTAGCTAGCTTACACCTGCCTGAGGTACGAAGATCATGGCTGCATGTTTCAGTGCTCCAAAATGCAGGGTATTTTCTTTCCAGTCTTCCAACAATATTTGCCAGAAGTAATTTGAGTGATTAGGATACCAAGAAATGGAAGATTCAGGAGGACTGACAAATAAGAGGGTGGGGGGAGGAAGAGGCGAGAGAAAAAATGCCAGCCAGCCAGAGATCAATTCTCATTTAATTGTAGGAGCGCCAATGGGGAAAGAACACTCTCTAGAGCAGCATTTTACCCAAGGTATGTAAAAAATGACAAAACAGAACAGGACCGACTTGGAAATGTTTTAAGTCCACACGATGTTCGCATTTCAAATTTCCACACACGTATTTTATTAAACTAAAACCAGTTACTCAGCTGCCATCCACAGAGGGTGGTTTAATTGACTATGCACCCATCTCAGAACCTGTGCCTGTCGTTGGGCTGTGCTAGTACTGACAGGTAATCTAGTGAGAGCTGGGTTATAAAGCGGTTCCGAGGGGTACAAAAGCTCCCATCTGGCTGATGCCATTTGGTCCCTGTGCTCCCTCTGTATCATAGGTGCAGCATGGATTCACTGGTTCTCCTAAAGACAGATCCCAGCATAGCAAAAGCAAGAAAAAGGCCTTATTGGATTATAAAATACAGTGACACTTTTAGAAAGTTATCAAATCTTTTACAATAATTTGCCACTGAACTGGTTACTTGGCTAATGTAGGATTTCCAGTCTCACGGAGGAGAGGAGGTATGCACGCAGGGATGACCCTAGGTTTGGCCAGGTAGTGGTATTAGGCAGAGAGCTATAACCACTGCAGAACTTTGGTTGTGGGAGAGCAGGGGGTCCGATCATGGGGCAGGAGGGTGAAAGTCTGAGCTAATTTTTCAAAGTGTGTATGGCTGAATTAGTAATAGTGGGTCAGAAATGGGTAGAGGGAGATGTATGCTGGAGAGGGGTCTGATGTTGCAGGGACTCCAGAAATACAGGGCCCTGCGCAGCCTACACGTGATATGTGCCTCTGGCCAACCTTTTGAGGATCAACCCCAATTACTTAATATGCCTATCACAGCAGCATCTTGAGACCCTCCCAGTCTCGCTCTCTTGGTGAAGCGGGGGCGGTGGGGCAGAGAGACTGCTGCAAAGATACATTTTGGTTTAAGAAAAAAAACCACACACCTGGCAACTTCACTCGGTAGAAGGAAAAAAACTTCCAAAGTATGGTTTGTTTTGTTTTCTTTAAATTAATGATAAATTAAGACTGGGAAGTTGATGCAATAAATATGTAAAATATTTCAAATAAAAAAAGTTACAAGAGCCTCAACTGAATTCTATCCAACTTAACTGCAGACGGATTCTTCACAGATCAACAGAGGTCTCCAAAATCAGCTGCAGCTCCCCTCTTGGCTCACTGGGCTTGGTTAACAAGTGCTTTCACTTACCCTTTGGAATACTGTTAAGACAACAAAATGATACATAGCACAAGAAAAGAAGTCTACTCCTAAGCTGTTTTTTCATGCTGCCAAAAGGTGTAGGAAGTAGCCATGGATGTGGGTCCATAGAGCAGTGCAGAGTGAGAATGCCACAACACTGGAGAGAGACATCCATTAGCAGGACTTCCCAGACCTGCCTGCAGAGCAGATGCGATGTTGGATGACAAGAAGAGTTCCTTGGGGCCTGTCATAAGAAGGGAGGTATTGCTGGAATTCTCTTGGTGAGCCGAAAGGGGCTAACCCTCTCGGACGCTAACCCGGGGTTCTGCTAGGGAGCTGTGGATGATACCAATGATTGACTCGACACCAGCTCCCTCCAAGAAGGTACGGTGATCCCCTTCAATGACATGGACAGACACTTTCCCCTCACAGACCTAGATTGGCAAAGACAACAAAAGAAGAGAATTTTATATGCAGAATTCTAAAGCACTTTAGTTCCATATTCTTGCTGCCTCAGCTCCAAGACATGAAAGTCTGAGTGAGGCTGAAGGTCTCTTGCTTCTGACACGTTCTGTTCTGACTCTATACTTTATTCATTTCAATGCTTTGATGTGTGCACTGTGGAGGGCAGGGCATAGGGGATAACGCGGGCCCCAGTAGAAGTGGATCCATTCCCCCCCCCCCCCCCC